GCCTGTCTCCTTGGTGCTAGGCTTGTTTTCCTTCCCTGCCTGTGCTCCATAGGTGGCTTGCCCATGAGCCGCGCCTGCCCCCCATCGGACTAGGTCGACTCGCTTCCCCTTCTTGCCGTCCATAGCATGTGTTGCACCACCAGCAGTTGCTTGATTGCTGCTGTCTTGATGCCTTCCCATTCCGTGTCTTCCACCCTTAGCACCCTGAAATTCTCATGCCATTCCCTTTCCATGATCGATCCTTTCACTCCTGCTATGAATGTTGCTTGTTCAACTTCATGATCAGGTAGCAAAGCTGTGATTTCTGCTCGTAGGGGGGCATATTTCTCTTCCTTTTCCTGAAATTTCTTCTTCAGGCATTCCAGGCTTGTTTGTCCGACTCCGTCATATTCCGATGTCCTTGCAAATTCGATGAGGACAATGCGTTTGATGCTTGCAAAGTAGCAGCAACCGTCAGGTATCCAGTGCCCTTCTCGGTGCATTGAAGTCCCAATCGCTTCCATCACGATGCGTATTGGGGTGTCCCACCATGAATTGACCTGTACCCTTTGTTTCCTCCAACTCTGCTGCAGTCTTACCTTGATCTTCTTCATGACTTCATTGTGTGCTTTTTGAATCATATCTTGGAACTGCTTGCACGCTAGCTGAACATGACCCCAGGTTTCTTCTCGATCTGGACAGTGAGGACAACATGGTGAGTTAGTCTTCCCCCATTGAAAGAGCTTCTTCCTCGTCGGTGCTGAGAAGGTGATCGCTTGGATAGCTGTTCGCGTAACTGACCCTTCACATTGTTTGAACCCTCTCCCTAGTAAATCTCTTCCCACATGCATTTCGAGCATGAATTTCTCTGTCAAGGTGAGGTCTCCCGCTCGAATCCTTGCCACCATTGTCTGTTGTCTGATAATGTAAAACCCTAAACCCTAGTCGTGTAATATGGCTATTGTCCCCGGTTTCATCTTGCTTTCAATTATTTCCTAACTGAGTCTGCCCGATCTGATTTCTCCGATTGTAACTGGTTTAGGGTGCCAAACAATAACCATGATGTTAGTTTGTGGATCAGACTGCTTTCAAACTTGATATCATCGTCCACCCTGCATTTCTTATTCGTTTTTCTCTCTAAATACCGAATCGCCGCCCTTCCCAAGATGGGTGCTGGATGAGGGAGTTGGAGGCCTCCTCTGTCCCAAGGTAGGTGAAAGATAGCGTTGCTTGTACTCTTGCTCAATCCCATAGCTCTTTTGAATGCTCTGGTCCAGAGGGTATCCAAGGTTTAGGTTTAGGGTTTAGGTTTTAGGTCTGACCAAGACCAGCTCACCAGTACCGCCGAGTATCTAAACTTCGGGTAATTTTTTTGGGCTGCAGAGTAAGCAGATGATTCAATCAGCTTTGTCAGTTCTTTTGTCTTCTCCAAGATGTGTTTTTTCTCTCCCCACGTGAAGGGGCAGGTGTGCGCCTTGTTGCCTCTTCCTCCTGGTCTCCACAAGCTGATCCGGATCCCTAGATATTTGAACCATTTTGTCGGTGGTAGGTTCACAATCTCCTTGTCAAACTTGAAAGAACTTGACTCGATGTTTTGCGTTCCCGGGATCTCCCTCTTTAGCCGATAATCAAAGCTGGTGATTTCAGATTTCTTTGTGTTCAGTTCTAATCCGCTCCATCGACAAAATCGCTCTACCACTTGAACAAGCGTTTTCATCTCTCTCCGAGGCTCACTGAATCATGTTGCTATCAGGACAAGGTCGTCTGCAAATGACAGATTATTAGGGTGTTGAGTTGCTTTTTCGTCTTGTTGTTGGTCGAGTTGTCTGGACAAGATGCTGAGCAGAAGATTTGTTTTTGGCGGACTTGCGGGGCTGCCTTGGGGCCCGTAATCCTCTGAGAACTTTCGAAGCGGGATGCCGCAGCCTCGATGCCCCCGGCTGCCGCAGTGCTGTTTAAGTTCAGCGCTATCCCTAAACCCGGGCCTAAACCCTAAACCAAGTCCTCGGAACGGGTCCAAGCTATGCATCTTCCTTGGCCGCTCCACGGATGCTCGACGCATGATGAAGGAGCTGCCCTTCTGTCTCGAAGGCGCAGCAACCAAGCTCGAACTTTACTTTGATCTCGAGCCTGTTAGCTATCTCCAACACTGAAGACTCTCTTGACTCTTGCGATGGACGTGTTGCCGCCGTTGTACAGGGCCCCTCCATTTCCTTCCTCGTGAAGCGACCCGATGCCGCCGTCGACTTGATGAAGATCTTGATCTCCTTGCGGCCGCCCGCCGTCCTTGCCGCCCGGCGCCTGCCTTCAAGCCGGGTTCTGCAGTCTTGATGCCTTCTTCAACTTATTTCTGGACACAAAACGATCAGCTGTCAACTCGCCGACTCGACTGCGAGCGCCTCTCTGATCTTCGGGTCCTCGCTGAGAGTCAGATGTACCGTCCCTCCATCGCTTCGCCCTACACCCTAAACCAGAAACCCAGTGAGCTCTCGGAAGTGGGGGATGGGGGCCGTGGGCTACCCCACCCTCCGTCGGAACGCTCCGAGGCCGAAGATGAGGGACCAGTGGGTCCGAGCCATTCGGAGTCGGTGTGGTCGGAATGTTTGGGTCTTACAGTAGGGGTACCTCCCTGGCAGAATGAGGGGTGGTGCCGGGAAAACGTTCCGGAATAGCCGCCGAGGGAGGGGTCCTACTTGTTATCACAGGACTTCTCTCTGATGCTCGGATGCCGAAGCAATGGAGCTATAGAGACACGATCTTTGATAATACGGATACGCATCCATGCATGTATAGATAGCAGTAGCAAGGTAGTTTAACAACGTTGGATGTGTTGTAGTATGAATGCATGAGAACAATGGTGAACGCGGGGGGTTTATGAACTTTAGTGTAACTGTTAAGATTGAGACTAGGTTGTGCTGGAAGGAGGAGAGAAGATTGCTCAGGTATGGAACTACACGCAACAATCAAATTAGCTCTGGAGATGTGACAAAGGCATGCTAGAATGATCCCTATACCTTGTATGATGAATGTATGAGTATAAAACAAAAACCAATCCAGGAATGCAACAAATCTGCTTTCAATCTCGACTGACATTGAATTTCTGACAGGGAGCAACAATTGAAGTGAAACAAACCATACATGGAACAAGCTGTTTGACAAAGCTGCTGTTGCTGTACTCCAATCCATGCAAACCATGCAATCACTTCCAAAAGTTGTTGAAAGCAAAAACGTACAAGACAATTGTTACAGACAGATCAATGATCAAGTATTTGAAAAAAAGACTTACACAGATTGGATGCTGCACCATGATGAACCCAGCGAGTTTCTTGAGTGTAGGCGCACTCCAACGGCAAAAATCCATTACAATCGTGACAACATCGTTGACGATTCATCTAAGGTTTTTTTGAGCAATAAGAGCGTAATGCACAATTGCAGTAGGCAAGGAAATCTGGAGAGTAGAGCTAAGAGACAGTCTCTTCCAAACATCATGTTCGATGATGGAGAGGGCCCAATGTTGACGAATGAAATTATTCACTCAGTAACACGCAAAGCAAAAATGGAGTTTCTTGGGTTAGAAGGAGAAATTTTTGAATTAATTCGAGAAATGGAAAACAAATTAGAGAAGGAGCGAGTTGCTAGGCGTCAGGTGGAGGAAGTCATGAATGAAGCATTAGAGAGGACCTCTAAACAGCTTGATGAAATGACAAAGGAAAGAGATGTGTATAGAAGATTGTTCCTTCAATCTGGAGAATTTCTGGAAATGTATGAAACACAACTCAACAGTATCTCTGGAAAACTAGATCAAGCTATATGGCATGCTTCCTTCACTGAGAAAATTGAGGGCAATTTTGATTCTTGCATTTGTGTTGATTCCCTCAGTAGCTGTCACGCCAACGGTTTGATGGACATTGACAATTTTGAGGTTGAGAGGGCTGAAGATACAAGAGTTGCAAAGGGTTCTTATTCAACGTGTTCAAGTCAAGCATCTTCTAGTCTTCAGCCCGAAACAACTATAGCCTGTGACCAAGAATATGAACGACCAGCCAACTTCCCCTCATCCAGTTACTTGTTCAGTCCGAGATCGATTGGGAGCAAAGTTTCTGATGAGTTGTCCCAATGTCAGACCTATGAAAACATGGACTCGCCATGCTACAGGGATTCACTGCGAAACTTCTTGAGCTCGGTCAAGCCTGCTGAAGAGCACGATGCTTTCTGCATGGAGCCTGGTTGTAAATGTGAGAACGCTCAATTTTCTTTTGATGATCTCTTCGTGCTGGATGAAGATTCCGCTGGATTTCAACGCTTGTCAGATGACGGAATGAGACGGAGAAGGTTCAGACTTTTGGACACCCAGGAACAGACCAAAGTGGAGTATGTGCAGACGCTTGACAAGCAAATAGAAACCTTGATTCTGTCGCGAGCTGCAGTCACAGGGAAACAAAGGGCAATCTATGACGCTCACCTCTGCTTGAATCTTCAGCTTCTGCTTGCAGACACCAAGGACGCTTTGCTCGTAATCGACGGGCTCTTGAACTCTGTCTGGTACTGCGAAAAGTGTGAGGCAGGCCTCTTTGCTCATAAGAAGTGGCAGCCCAAGCCAAGGCTTAGGCAGTATATGATTTCTCGACGAAAGACCGTTCTGTAGTATGGTCGCATGTTATGATGAAAGAGTGTAGCATGAATTTGTTTTTGCAGTACGCCGTACGTCAGAAAAGTGGTTGCATTTTGTTGTGCTTTGTCTCCATATAGTATTGATATGAAATTTACCATGACTAATTTACACAAACGTGCTCATGAACACAGACTGACCAATGTTCAGCGTCGCATGAAACCTAGAACAAGACTGTTTAGATAAAGTACATCAAGAACGATGGTACCAGTTGTCCGGGAAGTAGAGCAGCTCTCCCGGTTCAATTGTGCACTCAAGAAGGTCATGTCCTCCTTCAGCCTGAAGCATTGAGTTGTACCTTGTACGAAGCCACACAAGCCTGCAAAGAGTAAGTAGCGCTGGGGACAATAAAAAAATGTGAAGACGTCGTCTCGTCTGGGTCAAAGTCCTGATTGTTGACGTATCATCACAGGTCGAGTTAGAGGTCAATGAGAGGACCGGTTGAACACCCTTGGGCATGAGGAACCATCGCTTGCGTCCCCACAGAACCTCGCTGAACCCTGGTCCATGCACGTGGAACGGAACGCCAGACCCGCTTCCTCCTGCGAACGTAAGATCTTTCAGTTCATACCCGCCCTGACAATAGCTCCACACCGATCCCAAAGCTCAAGGATGATTCACGTCCATTCAAGCGCTCATGGTCATAAAAGAAGTCTTGCTAGCTCGATTGGTAAGTTGACAATGCAAATGCATCATGGGACATCACCTCAATGTAACTTTGAAAGATTTCTTTCCATTCTGAATGATTGTTGTCTCCAAACAAATACCAGGTTCTAACTCAAATTTTAAGGCTATCATCATGGTTTACATGAGATCACGCACTCATTCGCGACTTGATCCAAAGTGTGTTGGTTCAAATATTGGTCGACATAATCGCTGAATTTGACGATCCTCCTAGCATGAGAAAAAGTATTTGCGCTGCTGAGAGTGACGTTGAGATCCCCATACATTTTCAGGAGTTCACTCTTCTGACACCTGGGTAGTGTCAGCGTCGCTTCCTTTGCTTCATGTAACGTGATACAAATTACGAGTCTTCACATTCAAAACTGCAGGAGCGCCAACTATGATCACAGGTTCGTCTTCAAAGTATTTGCGGAATTCATCCGCACTCATAACTGTCATTGACAATTTCCTCATTGAAGACCTTACACCCTCACTTGCAGGCCTCACCAGATTTCTGATGAATCTTTCGAATGTTGCATCGTTGAGTTGTCAACCAGCTGTCATGATTGTCATTCCATCCTCCCTTGTAATCATCTCTTTCAAGTGCTAACGAAACCACAAGAACTGCAAAAATATGAATCAAATGAAATTCATGCTTCATAAATCAAAGCAGCTCATCCCATCTTTGACTCTAATCCCCCTTCCTGAAAATGGTGCGCTGCATTCTTGCACCGTTATCTTCGCTTCTTCTACCTTCAACCCGCTCTCCTGCTCTCGGACTGCAGCTTGCTGTGCTCCTTCACGTTCCCACCTCCTCCAATCGATCAAGCCATTTCGTCTCATTTTTCATCACTCATCTTACTGCCTTACTCGTGAATCCGTGGAGCCATCGCAGCATATCCAGCCCTCTAATCGTCCGGCAACAAGGATCTATAAAAAAGGTCTTTACTCAAAGTTAAGTTAAAAAAGGATGCTGGTTTGCCCAGTACAATGTTGTATAAAATGGAAGCGCCGGGTTTCGATCCCGGTGCCTCGCGCATGCGAAGCGCGCGCTCTACCAATTGAGCTACGCCCCCTTATAGGTCAGTACGGGTACCCTAACATAGATAAATGTATTCCACCCTCCTTGCGTCTGAACCGGTTTCTCCCAATGGCTGTCAGACAAGCGAAGGCCGCATTGCACAGAAGGCTCATGTCTACGTTCCTGAACAGGCAACACAGGTGATGTTTCCAACACCTTCTCATGCACCAATGTACATGCATACACGCACACACACAGCTTTCGAAGATTATGCGGTGCAAGTCATATGATGTGTCATTCAAAATCAGTTGCAGGGAAATGCACAAATTGAGAAATGAGTTAAACTCATGGTGATTTCCCTCAAAATTGGTGTAAAGTTCTGGCTGCGTATTTTCTTCTGATTCAAATGTTGAAAACAAACATTGATTGTACTTTGTTGATCGTTGTGTTTCAGGAGGTATAATGGGGGCAAAGCCGAGTGGTGGGCTGAGCGAACCTTTTGCTTTGGTCGGGGGTTTGGTGAGGGCCAAGCAATCCTGAGCTACGAAATAGTCACCCCTTTCCAAATGAACCAATACTTACTAGGTTGCACAAAGGTGCTCTGCCCTAAAGTTTTATCTCCGTGTAGAAAGGCTTACAGTTGATTTTAGACAGGTCGAGCATGTTTGATTGATACAGGCGATGCAAATGCCAGTTTGGAGACCGCAAAAAGATTCGGATTTTCTATCAAGTTTTTGCTACAAACCCATGCACACTTAGAAAATGTTATGGGACTGCCGGATATCAGAAGAACATTTCTCCACGACGTCCCTATGTACATACATCGTGCTGATTCGCCGTTGTATGAAAGCCTACAGAATCAGCACGGTGGTAAGACGGGTATAATGCGCGTTGATAAGTTGTCACCACCAGAAAACTATCTCGAGGATCAACAATGCATAACTGTTGGTGATGTAGGTAAGTGCAAAACGAATGTAAATTGCAAGATAGTTTTTGTTTAATTCCGGAAACAGAGCTAAAAATATTGCACACCCCTGGGCATACGCCTGGCCATGTCAGCTTTTACTGTGAAGCACATGGATTCCTCATCGGTGGAGACTTGTTATTCAATGGCAACATTGGAAGGACCGATTTGCATTATTGGTATTCTGTCTTGAATTCTTTTGTACTCTGAAAAATTCTCTTCCACATTCAGCAATAAGTCGGCCATGAATCAGAGTCTCAGAAGGGTGATGAATCTGCCAGATGAAACAAAAGTAGAGCTAACAAACTTGGCGCAATGGCTCTAACTTCTCCTCGCAGGTTTTCCCTGCTCACATGATGCCTACAACCATTGGCAAGGAGAGGCGCTCAAACCCGTTCCTTGCAAGAGCATTGGAAAATGAAGATAGATGTAATGAGCTTCAGCTACAACGAGATCGATCTGTTAGAGGAATAGAATGCACGGTTTGATGTGTTTCGGAGCAATTCTTCGAAACCCATTCATACCGCTACTCCTCCTTCAGTTTCATGGATTTCAAGCAATCAAAGATACTGTGATTTAGGCCAAACATTATTCATTGTATTTACTTAAAGAAGATATTGCCTGGAGGCATTGATAAGATAAGATTGTTCAATGTTGATTCGGGCAGGATGAAAACATCAACTATAAGGTTTGAATGGGTTGAAATGACAGGCTTTGTCATCTTTGAGTACGAAACGTCGATCAAGACGATGACTTGACAACTTTCTCAGTGCATGTGAAAAGTTTCTTCAAAGCATGAAGGCACGACTCGTTTGAGCTATTTTGAGCCATGCACCTATGATAATCTGAAACATTGTATCATTGACTAGCTTTCAAACAATCTATCAGGTCACCTTCATTTTCGATGACACAAGTATTTCTTATCTTATTCACTTGCAATTCCATTCGACGCTGACAACTTATGAGTTTCTCCTTCGGGGCTTCACAACGATCTGCTCCAAGCCTGAGGGGTAGGCCCATCGAGTGAGAACATAGTGAGGAGAGAAGTTTGATAGAGATTTATACTTACGACAAAGTGCACTCATTGTAGTTTCGAAGCTCCTTCGAGCAATTTTCAATAATATCATCAAAACGATTCATCACTGCAAGAACTTCGTCCATGATGACCGAGGATCCACGAGTTCGGATACAGAGATTTGACAAGGAATGGGTCTGTAAGAAGAGCGCAAAGAAAGCCGTTTGGTTACAGCTTGATTAGATGGTCACATACATGACTCACAAGGTTTCTGTTCAACTTGATCTCACAACCGCTGGCCGCTTGTGCTGTGTTGACCTCACTCCCTCCACGCTTGTATCGCTTTCAGGCCGAGTGCCCTGGTACCGAGCCCGGTCCAGTTGACTAATTTTTGGTTTCAGGTTTCTATTTGCCAATCTTGAGCACATACAAGACGCCATGGTAAGACTCCATCTTGAAGGGTGCAGCAGGGAAGGAGGGGCGGGGGTAGAGAAGATGAATATTGCGTAGAAGACAACGCTGATATAGTTAGTTTTCCGAGCTCTGATACGTCTATTAACACATGCCATTCCTGCAGCGAGTGAGCGTCCTGTTGGCCTCGGCGTGCATTCTCTCTGAGCTCTCAGGGGTTTCTGCATTCAATGCCCCCCTTGTTCATATTCAAAGTTCAGTCAAGACTCGTGGAAGAGCAACCCCGCTTGCTCTCAGAATGCAGTCAGTGAATCGAAGAGATTCCATTGGAATCATGTTGGCTACAGCTGGAATGCTTGCTCAGACCAAAGATGTTGGAGCCAAGGATGTTGCAGATGGCGGCCTTCCTGGAGGTCTTGCAGAGTACATGAGTATCATCAAATCCAAGAAGCAGGTGCTGTCTCCACCCACTTTCATTTTAATGGTCCGCGACCTCTGGCGATGATCGTATTTTTGTGATTCCAGTGGGGGGAGATCGGCAACCGCGTCTCCAATGGACATGCAGAAATGTCGGAGGAGGAGTGGAAGAATGTTCAGGTGAATGGAAGACGTTCACCTCCTTGTTATGACAATCCTCAATGCATTAGGGTTATCTCAGGAAGTTCTTCGACACAGGGAAGGACATGGAAGTTGTTGCGAAAGCCTTTAGCCCTGAAGAGCAGAAAGCTGTCGCCGAGGTCAGCAAGGAGTTCCGTGAGTATCTCAGCACATGATTTGAGTTTGTCGCTGAGTGCTCAAACAGGAAAGGCGGTCAAAGGCATTGACAAACCAGCAGCTGCCAAGGACTGGGAAACGTTTATGGCTCAACACAAAGTCATTCTCGGTGAGAAAGTTGTACGGGGCGTATTTTTCGAATAACCTTCTACTTTTCAGGTTATATTGACGAGTTTCAAGACATTCGCTCCGGCAAGAAAAAGTGAGTTGTAGAGGAAACAATGCGAAAATTGACCCTTGATTCAGGATACAATCTAATGCTCAGTATGTTCCCGACGAGTTGTAGGCTACTGTCTTCAATTTTGTGGTTTCAATGTCGTGCTATTGATAACATTGTGCACTGCTATGTAATTGTGCCAGCCGGTGTTTCTTTGAGTTATTCAAGGCTCAATCACTTGTGCAAATCAGAAATTGTTTAATTAGTCCAAAACGTTGTCATCTACAGCTATACACAAAGTAAGGGAAATTTCGGAGGTCTGCGAGACTATCCAAAATTGGCAAGATGTCCTAGAAGAAAGAACTCGGCAATCCTTGACCATATGTGGTGCTGCACACATCCACATTGATGCAAGTCAATGTATGCTTTAGTGCTTGTGCGATGGTTTCTAGTTCGCTGTTCCCGTTGCGCTCATTGACTTTTTTCCAGAACCTTTGGATCTTATCGAGCTCCTGTTCTGAAAACTGATTTGTTTGAAGCTCATTTCCTGGTCTCTGCGTCTACGTTGTCGTCAGTCGCTCCATCACTGCATCCCATGGGCTCCTTCTCACCTGAAAGCTTCCCGTAGCATCTGTTCGATACATGTCATAGGGACGTGAAGGACGAAGCAGCGTGAGCGCTCCAACTTGACCGGCTCCTGCTAGTAGGAGGACTGAAAGGGCTTCTCTTCTCGTTACGCTATTGCCTGGAGACCGAGGTGCTGCTGGGGTCCCACGCATATGAATCGCGAAACCTTTTATGCTGCCACATTGCAGAAGAAAGCAAGCAAGCGTGAAAAATGCCTTCGCCCTTGCCGTCATAAATATTGTTGCTTCTGTCAAACACACAGTGTCAAACATTCAGGCCTCGAAACACATGTCCTCAATCATCCTTGGAGTTGTCCAAGCTACAGATTTCTTTACGGATTTATGTTCTGATGCTGTTGTTGCAGACAGTGTCTACAAATATTTTATGGCTTCGAGAAGGAAATGATACCAAAACATCAAAATCTCTTCACCGCAACTATTTTGGCATCATCTAACTTATAATAGAGCCTTCCATTTTTTCTTTCGTTTCGTCCTTTCAACCATGGAAGATTGTCTCCTTTTCAGCCTCATGTTCTGTTCTTCTTACAACTTTCAATTGTCATCTACATGCTAGCAAGTTTCTAAACATCGTCCATGGGTGCAATGTTTCGCGTGCTTTCACAAGCTCTTTCTCTGTATCCTCACATGCATGAAATACGTACCAGGTCCAAACCACCCTACCTACCCCAAGTTGCTGATATATCTCCCCACCAGTGTTTTCCAAATGCTGACCTCACGTTTTCTCAGGAGCGGCATACTACCCCCTGCTTACCCAACACTACCCTCTTTTCCCATATCACTTGCACCCGGTCGTAAGTGGATCGCCCACCCTCCTCTACCACCCACCCCTTCTTTTGAGAAAGGACTCTGTCGGACCCACCCCTTGATCAATTTTCTTACACATCAAAGTGTAAAAGTAAAAAAATGATAAAAAACAGTTTTTGTTTCAGCAGCAAACTCCCTTTCATTCAGGGGCTCCTTATCACCCGCCAAGTTGTGCCAACATGCTCATGACCTGCTGCTCACTCGTTGATTCGACTGACTCAACTCGATCACTCATATCTAAGAACATGGGCGAAGCCTTTTCATCCATGCATGCTATCATGGTCATCGAGACTGTTCCAAGTAGATTTCGCCTGTAAAAGCTGCTAGATGTCCATACAAAGGATTGTTTACAAAAGCCAAATACATGAATGGAAAGGTTGGTTTTCATCCTTTCGCCCGACATCATACAAGTGATTCAAGGTTCTGTCGGCATTGTTGATCATTTGAGAAAGAAAGCGTACTAGAACTGAACGGAATCATTCAGATCTATCGTGTGGACTGTGTAAGATGTTGCTCACTTCAGTTACAAAGCTGTTTGTTCATTTCAGTCACAAAGTTGTTGATCCACATTCAAGGTTCCAGCTGTCCAACATTCATAGGAACAAGTCGCTTCTGCTCCTACTCAAGCTCAGCCACCCACGCTTGTTGCTGCTGCCGTTAGTTCGCGTATGTGGTGCAAGAGCATTTTGATGCCTGCACGGTTGGCAATTTATTCCTGAACCATCATCGACTAATGCACAATGCCTTCAATGCTCCCGCACTTGGTTTCAAAATATCATATAGCTCATTTCACCAGCCCTCACGGCTATCGAGCATACAGCACAGCACCACGCAAGGACCAGTCCTTACTCATCGAGGTCTCCCCGAGCTCATGCTGAAAGAATCGAAGACGTCACACAAGACAGAATCAACAAGCATCGCATGGTTACCTTCAACATGATGACAATCCTTCTCCGTTCTTCACCTCCCTCTTGGCACATGAAAGCAATTTTCCCTACCGAAACTTCGATAAAGTCGTCCATCCCTCCTATCATGAATCAAGAAATTCAAGGAGAGATACCGAGTCACCTGTCCTCGGCAGGTCAAGTGTTGCATGGACCTCGATGCTTTGATCGAAGTGTTGCAGATTCTGTAGCGAAGGAGTGTTGAGCAGAACACTCCTGATGAACATTTACAACAAAGGAGAAGAATGGTGAGAGAGGAAGATGGCAGGGCAAATCTCACCCGACACTAATGCTTAATCCTTCACACTCAGCATCACAGCTCATGACGACTGAGAAATTGAACTCCACGACACGTCCTTGAGAAAATTGTTCATCGCAATCACAAGATGGCAAACCTGACCTTGAAATCCTACGAACTTCACTTCCCATGACGCAAATGCTTTTGGGTCTGCATTCCATCCTATCAAGGCATTTGATCGTCGCCAAAATCTGCTAGAAGTGTGAAATTCAGAAAAATAATGCAGATGCGATGTCAGGACGAGCTTCGAATTATAGCTTACAGGGGTCCATCTGGCCATGGCCCAGTAGTGGCGAGTTCCACAGCAAGTGGCACACCAAACTAGAACGAGGACGTTAAACTGCTTCAGGACAGTGTGAACAACAGAGACAACATGCTCCACTTGATGTGCTGAACTTGGTCCCACGGCAACGACAGAACCTGACTCTAAAAATCTATGAGCTTTCATCACCCATATAAGATTGGCGCGGCACCAATAGCCTCCAACCCCAGGCTGAGCCCTCTCAGCAGCTTCTGCGCCTCATGACACACAGCACCTTCCTGCAGTGAATGTGAGATGTAGACTATGCTTGCGACTGAGAGACCTGAGAGATCAGAAGGTTGAAGACTGCGAGAGCGCTTCGTCGACGAGCCTCACCGACTCCCCATATGATTTCAGGAAGACTGATTTGAAGTCCGGCAAAGTCCGTATCCTCTCCCTGCTCCCCGGTCATCTGACCAGTTCTTTGATCGATGCTGCCTCCTCGCATGAAGGTCCAATCCCCGTTCTGCAATAGGCTACTAAATGTTGCGTATAGGCCTACCTGCGGCCCTGTCTCAAACACTCCTGTGCTTCCAGGAGCTAGCCCTGGAAGAAATGAAATATCTAACACAGACATTTCCCCTGCATACAACTCTTGTAGGTCGGTCGGCTTCGGAAGAGCCCAAGGGTTATATCCCACAACTCTTTTAGGGTTGCCCGCTTTCAAAGCTCGCCACATCCTCCTCCAAGGAGCTCGATGTGGGTAGTATCCTGTCATACCATCATCGATCCACCACCCATCAAAAGCTGTGCCATATCGATTTCCGATCTCTGCAATAATTTCGCACCAGCAATCCCAGAAATACTCGTTCCGAGCACCTCTCGTAAAGTTCATAGCACGGAACCACTCATCATCATCCTTGCCATAGTGATAATAAAGGATGAAACGAACCCCAACTTGCTTGAGCCCTTCCGAGATCTCGGCAATAAGATCTCTTTTTGTGGTGCGTCCTTGTAGAATACGATCAATAGACCTTATAGCAGCAGGGAAATGATATCCAGCCCAGTTTGTAGTGAAGATGATCACATTCGCTCCAGACTGATGGACGATGTCTACAAAATGTTCCACATCGAACCTGTTCACAGCATCCTCATAGGCCAACTTGTCTCCTTTCAGTGGAAGGGTGAAAGAGTTCCAGTGGAAGAACAAACCGTATCTTGCGTCATTGCGGAGCCAGCTTGTGTCACCCAACAGCTCCTCTTTCTCGGACTTCAAACTGTCAAGTACCTCTCTTGTCATCATCTCAAGAGAGTGAAATGAAAGGTTCAACTCGCCTTCCTCTGGCAGCTCCTTCACCGACAACTTTACTGTCAAAGGCCCGGCAGGAAGGGCGACGGAATCTGCAACGATCTCACGGGCAAACTGCATCATGACGGGTGCATCGGAGTAAACGACTTGATGCTCAACCTTGGCTACGACTTCGTTCAAGACCTTGCCAGACAGACACGTCTCGTCACTGTTATCACATCCCATGCTAGGCCACCTGTAGAACTCAAGTTTTAGGGCGACTGGCGATGAGCCACCGTTGTATCCAGAGGACATCTTAAAGTGTGAACATACTAATATTTGTATCACGTAGTATCCTCGCTCCGCAATGGACACGTTCCATTGAAAGCTATCGTCCAGCGATGTCCAATTCTCCATCCACAACATATGTATCCGATCACCACTCGAGTGCTCGAAGGGTCCCCCGAACACGGCAGCTTCGGATCCCAAGAGGATGTTGATATCATCTGGAGCGACAGGCAGAAATACGTTTCCGTGTGCTGCTACTGGGCGGCACAACTTGTTCTCACAGCACATGAGAAACAGGAGTACAGATGATGGCACAACCCAAGTTCTCAGGGGCAGCATCATTCCCTCCAGAGCTGGCAGTAGAGCTGAGCAAGAAAGAGATCAGTGGCATGTGCTCTGGGATGAAGCATGGATTGAAGGAAGCGCTGGTGAAGGCGAGGAGCAAGCTATCCAGGCTTGCCACAACCCATCGACGACATTGAACCAATCCAAGCTCGCCTCTGAATAGAGCGCAGAGGCGGGCTCGATAACTGAACGAGAGGTGGGATGAGGGCATCCGTTCTCGCATGTGCGCTCGTTCCAGGGTACGTGAGAACAAAAACAAATTGGTTGAAATAATTTAGCGACTCAGGGTAAATTTCGATATCAAATTTGGATTTAAGAATAAATTTAGGAAATCATCAACATGACTTGAGTTGAGTAAACATTCTTCTCAAGCTGTTCGCCCACCCGAAAATGGCGAAGACAGTGATGCCGGGTGATGTGGTGGCGACCATGCAGGAGAGTCGGTCTAAGAGAATGGTGTGCTTCTTGATAGTACGAGATCCATCATCACTGCTTCTTCCTTTCACTTTGACCCTCTGAAGGGCATGCGCCATATTGAATCATGCATTTCAGTTTGGTTGTGGAATTTCACAAGATGGCGAAAACTTAGTAGCAATTAGGGCAGGGCAACTGCGTACAGTGGTGAGATGTTGTTGCCAGACAGCATGTTTTCAATGAACTTACTCACAGGGAGAAAATCAGAGCAAAACTGGAATTGAGATGCGAATGTGGATTGACAGCAACACGAAGCGATATGTTCCCGTCGATGAGGTCGACTTCCTTCAGAGCTGCTTGTCTGCTGACACACTGCTTTTTCCTGCTCAGGACCTGGTCATTGGAATTGTGGTAGATAAAAGAACAGAAGATTATCGTCTAGATGTTCGAGGGCCCAGGTGATGCACTTTGAAACTCATCAAGGAACTGCAGTAACGATGCTCAGTTACGGTGTTCTGTCTGCTCTTTCATTCGAAGGGGCAACAAAAAGAAACAAACCTAAACTGGAGATTGGGTCAAATGTAACGACAAATTTTATGCCAATTAACAGCTTTGCGCAGATCTCTGGTTTACTGCAGAGTGTCAAACTCATATCGCGATGCAGAATCTGAGCTGTCTTGTCTTTCTTTGACATACAAGAAGGTAACTCCGAATTTTTGCCGAGGCCATTGTTCATCTTATTTTCAGGGATGGATGACTGGCCAGGCTGTTTTTGGGGAATTGGAAGGAGGGCATATGATAGAAACTTCAATCGGGTGACACGATACCTTTCTCTTTTGTGCTTTGGAAGTCATTTAACACATTTGAGCTCCTCAGTTATGCCAGATCGCTCTTGCTTCCTGAAAACGTTGTTGTAAACTGCTTGGGTCGTCATCTTGCCTACGAAATTGCAGTCGGATGTAATGGAAGGGTTGTCTTCAAATTCACTAATCTATGATCTAAGCTATTTTTGTTTCTGCAGATTTGGATCAAAAGTGATTCCGTCGCTAAAACTATTCTGATTGCTAATGCAATTCGAAATGCTGAGTATGACGAGCTGATCTGTGCTGATCCATGTTGAAATCATATGATTTTGTCAATTTTGCAGATTTCTCGACCCTTCTCGCACTGAAAGCATGATTGAGCAACTCATCAAACATCTCCAGGGATAACTTCGTCAAATGTTTTACCTCAAATCGTTTAATTTTGATTGGTACAAAACTGAGACTCTTGACTAACAATTTACTTACTCACTCAGTGCCTCACTGTTTAGTTGACTGACACCAGTCCCCGGACCGCCGGGTTCGGCCCGGGCCCGGCGGGCCCGGACTCGGGACTCTGAGTGACTGACGGGCAACAACCAGTACTTGAATATCGGCGGGCCTCAGACTGGCATATCGCCGTGCCAGTGACCGGGAACTTAAGTTGCCAGTTGTGACTCAGCCGCCGGGCCCTCGGGAGTCCGATCGGCCGGCCCCCGGGGGCCTGTAGTCACGGCCCTACCGGGTGACCGTCGGTCACGGCGGTGCCCGGCGCCCGGCCCGCCCGGCCCGGCCTCACCACTGCCGGGGGTCAATAATCAAACTTGACTCGAAACGTGACCGCGTCCTCATCGGATGATAAGCCCGCCAACTTGCCAATGAGAGAAACGGCATGGCCACGAGAATGCCTGTCAGGTTCGTTGCTATAAGCACCCCCCTTTGTGATTGACCAGAAGAGGGTGGGGTCATTTGGTGCTGACAACCAAAAGCTATTCTTTCGCGAAATGCAAAGCAATCTGTGAGTTGAAGCAGATTTCAATGGTTTGAGAGAAGCTTTCAATTCTCCATGAGTATTTTCGAATATTTTCACACATTTTAATTGTGCGTCACAAATCTCGGGAGCTGAGCTACCTTACCACACGAAAAAAAGAATGCACTCTTTTTTCGTTTTAGGAAACATTATTTGAAGATATGAATGAAACTTTGAAATTTTCACAAGATCATATTCAAATCTGATAAGACCCTTCCAGGACACCCTCCTCTCTCGACTCAACTGCACGTACCCCTAGTCGTATAGCCCCAAATACCCCACCCCCTCCAAAATCAATCCCTCACCGTACCCATTTCATCTGCTACATCACTGACAGTCAAAAGGGCAAGAGAGGCTTGTTTTGTATGACCGGTGTATGCTATGACCCCCCTGTGGCCATCTTATCATGTACCCCTACCCTTCGGACTTCCACCAACACCCACCCACTTGAACAACCCCTACCCTCCTGAACAAGATCAAAACAAATGGCAGTGGTCGCAGGATGAGAGTGAGGAAAATGCGAAGGAGGGCAGACAGAGAGGAGAAGGTAACATCTCGAAAGTAGCAGAAGTGAGATGACATAGTAGGAACGAGTTGGTTGTATGAAAGGAGCGGGTGACAAGACCAGACAACATCATCCCTCAGAAAGGGGAAGAATGGATGAAGAGCTAGAGAAAACAAGGAGGGAACGGGATGATGCTCAGACTGAATGTGCGGAACTGAGACTTCAACGCTCTTGTTTGCTGGAAACAAAGTTGGTTGAGAGCCTGATGGGCTCCTGCGAGATCAGGGAATTCATAGACAGTGTGGGAACAGCCATATTCGGCTTGGACGCCGAGGGCAGAATAGATGTATGGAACAGACAGTCACAGTCGCTGTTTGGTCTTACAAAGCTCCAAGCTATGGGAATGCTCTTTGCGGATCTTCTAGGCCGTCAAAGTGCAAACTCTCAGGTATGGGATCTCCCTGTGTGATATTGTTCAAACGTGTAGCAGGTGACATCATGGATTGGTCTGGCTTGCGGAGGGCATCAGATGAGCAGCATTCAGTTGTCTGTTCCATCGAACGAGAGATCTGCTTCCAAAGGATGCGTGCATATCGTCGTCTCAGCTTCTCCCAGATGGAACTCCGGAAGTTGCTGTGGCACCTTTTGCATCTGCCAGGACATAACTGAGATTAAGGAATTCGAGGACAGACTGTTGAACAGATTGAAGACAGCTGAAGAAATGGCAGATAGCACCACGAATCCTATCATGGAACTTGATTCGAATGGAATGATTCTAGGCTGGAATAGAATCATGGTGGAGACAACCGGTGTGTTGCGAGAAGATGCGTTGAACCAGAATTTTGCCCAGACATTTTTGGATTCCGAAGCTAATCATAGATTTTTATTGGCTCTCGAGCATTCCATGAATCGAAAGAAAGTTCAATCTGTTGAAGTCTGTCTGAAGAGTGTCAAAGGAAATTCCAGTCAATTCAGTTTCAGCCTTGATCCACAGCTAGAGGGTCCGGAGCATGCAGCCAGGGTGATTTGTGCAGGCAAGAGAATTTCTGTCAGCGGCAGCCATGGAATTCACGATGATATTGCCAACCAATGGGTCAATTCACTTCGCACGGCAAATGCGCCTATATTTTCCTTAGATCTCGAGGGAAACATTACAGAATGGAATGATGGGGCTGCCCAGATCACCAACTTCTCGGAGAAAGATGTGGTTGGGAAAAGTTTCTTTGAATTTTTGTCTGAGGATCATGTCAAAACCTCAAAATCTATTTTCAAGTCCATTTTGAATGGCAATTCGATGACAAACTTTGAAATTGAAATGCGCACGCGACAAGGGCACTTTGTTTGCATTTTGTTGAACGTGACAAAGCGCTTCAATACCGAAGGGAGTGTTGTAGGCTTTTTTGGAATTGGACAAGACATAACTGAACGCAAACACGATGAGTTGGAACGATCAAGAATGGTGGAACAACTGTATCATTTCATTGAGAACACGAACACCCCTATCTTTGGTGTAGACGAGGAAGGTTTCATCAATGAATGGAATAAGAAAATTTCTGAATTGACGGGTTACTCAAAGCAAGAATTGCTTGGTCAAAATTTCATGGAAACGCTGATTCCTGACGAATTCAAGGCAATCGTGCAAAATACGTTGCGGACAACTCTGCAAGGATCAAGCATAGAGAACATTGAATTTTGTTTGTGTACCAAACGGAAGAGGTGCGTTGATGTGCTCTTAAGCACCTCCCCTCGAATGATTCCATCTGGGAGAGTGGTCGGACTGATAGGGGTTGGACAGGACATATCCGAGCGAAAAAAGATTGAGGTGGAGAAAGCTCGGGTAGCCGATGAGTTACAAAGATTCATCCAATCTGCGAATGCTCCGATTTTCGGAATCGATACCGATGGATTCATCAACGAATGGAATGACATGGCAGCTCAAATCACTGGATACACGAAAGAAGAAACCCTTGGTAAGGACTTCGTCAAGGAATTTGTGAGACCAGAGAATCAGGAATCAGTACAGCACGTTTTGTCCAATGCGCTTAAAGGAAAGGAGGCTGCAAATTTTGAATTTCCTTTGTACACCAAGGAAAATAGGAGAATTGAGTTCTTGCTGAACGCCACGTCGCGCAGAGATTTGAACTTGCATGTTATTGGTGTGCTTGGTGTTGGACAAGACATCACTGAGCGAAAGGTGATTGAAATCGAGAAAGCTCGGGTTGCACAGGAGCTCCAGACGTTCATCGACACCGCCAATGCTCCGATCCTCGGCATCGATGTACTTGGGCGGGTGAACGAGTGGAACAACAAGGCAGCAGAGATCACGGGCTTCTCGAGCGAGGAGGTGATTGGAAGAGACTTAGTGCAAGAATTTATCACCGAGGAATATCAAATTTCTGTCAAGGAGGTGCTTGATAATGCCTTGAGGGGGAATGAGACTGCGAACTTCGAGTTTCCCATGTACACCAAGGAGAAGCAGCGAGTTGAGGTGTTACTGAACGCTACCACCCGTAGGGACGTCAGCGGGAAGGTGGTGGGAGTGATTGGAGTAGGTCAAGACATCACTGAGAGGAAGAGAATTGAAATTGAGAAAGCTCGGGTTGCACAGGAGCTCCAGACGTTCATCGACACCGCCAATGCTCCGATCCTCGGCATCGATGCGCTTGGGCGGGTGAACGAGTGGAACAACAAGGCAGCAGAGATCACGGGCTTCTCGAGCGAGGAGGTGATTGGAAGAGACTTAGTGCAAGAATTTATCACCGAGGAATATCAAATTTCTGTCAAGGAGGTGCTTGATAATGCCTTGAGGGGGAATGAGACTGCGAACTTCGAGTTTCCCATGTACACCAAGGAGAAGCAGCGAGTTGAGGTGTTACTGAACGCTACCACCCGTAGGGACGTCAGCGGGAAGGTGGTGGGAGTGATTGGTGTTGGACAAGACATCAGCGAGAGAAAGTACGCAGAAGAGGAGAAGGCGCGGGTAGCACAGGAGCTCCAGACGTTCATCGACACCGCCAATGCTCCGATCCTCGGCATCGATGTGCTGGGGCGGGTGAACGAGTGGAACAACAAGGCAGCAGAGATCACGGGCTTCTCGAGCGAGGAGGTGATGGGGCAGAGCTTGGTGGAGGTGTACATCACGGAAGAGTTCCGATCCTCAGTCAGACGAGTTCTAGATAATGCCCTTTCTGGTTTGTGTACTGCGAACTTCGAATTTCCTTTGTACACCAAGGACAATCAGCGAGTTGAGGTGTTACTGAACGCTACCACCCGTAGGGACGTCAGCGGGAAGGTGGTGGGAGTGATTGGAGTAGGTCAAGACATCACTGAGAGAAAAATTGCTGAAGAGGAGAAGGTGCGGGTAGCCCGGGAGCTTCAGACGTTCATCGACACCGCCAATGCTCCGATCCTCGGCATCGATGTGCTTGGGCGGGTGAACGAGTGGAACAACAAGGCAGCAGAGATCACGGGCTTCTCGAGCGAGGAGGTGATGGGGCAGAGCTTGGTGGAGGTGTACATCACTGAAGAATATAAGGAGAGGGTCAAAGAAGTTCTAGATGCTGCGCTTGTTGGCAACGAGACTGCGAACTTCGAGTTTCCTTTGTTCACCAAGGACAATCAGCGAGTTGAGGTGTTACTGAACGCTACCACTCGCCGAGATAGCAATGGTCGACCCGTGGGAGTGATTGGAGTAGGTCAGAACATAACCGAACGCAAGCGCGTTGAAGAAGAGAAAACCAGAGTCGCTCAAGAGCTTCAGACGTTTATCGATACTGCGAACGCTCCTATTTTCGGCATCGATGCAGACGGAAAGGTCAACGAGTGGAACAACAAGGCGGTCGAAATCACAGGCTACTCAAGAAAGGAAGTGTTCGGACGGGATCTAGTTGAAGTCTACATCACAGCTGAATTTCGCAATTCAGTCCGCAATGTCCTACAAAATGCACTCAAGGGACGAGAAGCTGCCAACTTCGAATTCCCAATCTTTACCAAGGACAATCGTCGGGTCGAGCTTCTCTTGAACGCAACGACTCGACGAGACATGAGTGGCGCCATCATCGGGGTCATTGGGGTGGGACAAGACATCACGGACATGCGAAAGTTGATGGAGCAGGAGACTTTGCTCTTCCAGGCACAAGCAGCCAACGATGCTAAGTCGCAGTTCCTGGCGACCATGTCCCATGAGATGCGAACACCGCTGAATGTAATCATGGGGATGAGCCAGATGCTGTTGGACACAAACCTCTCCATCGAGCAACGAAGATTTGCGGAACAGACGATGAACTCTTCCGAATCGCTGCTGATCCTGATCAACGACATCCTGGACTTGACCAAGATCGAAGCCGGCAAGCTCGAGCTCACGTCTGTGGAGTTCGATCTCCGACAAGTGCTGGAGGACGCCATAGATTCCATCGCATCCAAGGCCCTCGTGAAAGGGCTGGAGATCTGTTTGTATTTGGATCCTATGCTGCACACTGGGGTCAAAGGAGATCCTGACCGGCTGCGACAGATTCTGCTGAACCTTCTGTCCAACGCAATCAAGTTCACACACCAGGGGCAAGTCTACCTGCTGGTGGAGGCAGACGACCTGTCTTGCTCTCACGTGACATTCCGGTTCAAGGTGTACGACTCGGGGATCGGAATCTCCGAGGAAGGGCAAAAGAAGCTCTTCAACCGCTTCTCCCAGGTGGATTCCTCAACCACCCGCAGCTACGGAGGAACGGGCCTCGGCCTAGCCATCTCAAAGCAGTTTGCCGAGCTCATGAATGGCTCGATGGGGGTCAGCAGCTCGATGGGACAAGGCTCGCTCTTCTGGTTCACCGCCACCTTCCAACGGGCTGACGACTATCACGTTCAAGGTACCAAGAGGAACTCGCAATCGGTTGAAACAGAGGTGGTTCTAGTTGCCGGCAACGAGACTCTGCGATACTCCATGATGAAGTGCATTCAAGGGCTCGACTACAATGTGAAGGCTGTCGACCGGATGTCGAACGTGTCATTTTCCTCGGATAATGCCAAGATCATCATGATAGTTTGTCCTTCCATTTCCAATGAGCAGAACATGAGCATCATGAAACAACAGGACTCTGGGATGGGTGAGAATTTGCAATCGATGTACAACTCTTTGAAAGAAATATCAGCAAAGTACACAGGAGTCAGTTGTTTGGTACTCTGTCCTATCACTCAGCTGAGCCGATCGGCTGAGTTTCGAAATATTCCAAGATGTGTCGTGCTCAGCCGTCCGTCTCGTCTGGCAATTCTTGGTGACGCCTTGTTTGAGGTCTCAGGAGAACTGTTTCAGAGCTGCCTGTTGGAAGACAACAGCATGTCAAACAAATTGACCGCAGCTCCTGAAATGAACTTTGTCTCGAGGGATCAAGAAGGCACTAAGATCTTGATCGCCATCAATGATGTTACGCAGCGAATGGTGCTGAAGGCCATGCTGATGCGAGAGTCGCATGAGTGTATGGCATGCGCAAGCACCACGGAACTCTCCCACGTCATCAAGCAGTGTGGCAATGGATGGAATTTCGACATTCTCTTCCTCGATCTGGATTTAGGGGATGCAAAGACAGGCGATGGGGAAACAAGCTTCACGATTGTTGAGCAGGTCAGAAAGATTGAGAAAGACTTTCCCGACAGGAACAGACTGATCGTAGTTGGAGTCGTCGACGACATCTACTCGAAGGAGAGCTGCGCTTGCTTGGAGGCTGGCTTTAATGTCTGCTTGGCAAGGCCGCTGACGAGGCATGACGTTAATTTGATTCTACTCGAGCAAAAGTCTCACGTTCGCACGGGAATCGTCACAAATCACTGGAAAGGCGAAACAGCACCAGCCCAGGTGACTCCTCACATCAACCACGCGGTCCTACCGGTACAACATGCTCTAACTGGACGAGTCTTGGTTGTCGACGACGATCATGGGCAAAGGATGCTCCTCAAGTCTATGCTGAAGAAGGCGGGTTACGATGTGGAAGAGGCACAGGACGGAGCTGACGCTGTGCATGCTATCAGTACGATTGAGTACGACGTGGTCCTCATGGATGGCTTCATGCCCAAGCTGACGGGGTGGGAGGCCACTGCGCAGATCCGTGCGAATGAAGCAGCGGGAGGAGCGACGAGGCCGCTGACGATCATCGGGATCACGGGAGCTGCCGCCTCTGACGACACAGCTAAGTTCTGGGCGGCAGGGATGACGGACTTGATCTCCAAGCCTGTCAGGAAAGACCAGCTGCTCGCGGTGGTGAATAAGTGGATGGTGAGCAAGCGGATACACAGAGAGATGCCCAAGAACAATTTAACAACAACAAATCATGTCGCAAAAGCCGAATTACCTTCAAGCGTTCTCATTTATGAGACAGTGAAAACCCAGAAAGTAATTCTCAAAGGGATTTTGAAACAGACAGGAATGGACTTCGAGATTGTAGACACATTTGATGACTTCATGTCGCATTCCAAGCTTGCAAAGTTTCGTTGCATCTTGTTTTCTATTCATGATGCGGTCGAAACTCAAGTTCAGCTCGGCAAGTTGAAGCAGCAACTCATCGAAGCTCACCGAACAAGTGTTCGTATCTTTGGAATGGCAGATGAGGATATGCTACCGTGGTGAGTTGACAAGCTTAAACGCCTTTCCTAGCTCCCTGCTCTCTCCCTTCCCTAGCTACCTTCTCTCTCTCTTGACCTCTCCTGCTCGTTCCTGCATGTCTGCTTACAGAACTCCAGGCTTGACGGTCTTGCCTTCGACCGGTTGGTAATGAAACCCCTCAAGAAAGAGTCTCTTGCCCTGCTCCTGCAAGCCCCCAGCTCTGCTCAGCAGGCTCGCGAGGACTCTCAACAGCCGGACGAGCCTCAAGTTGTCGAGGGTGGAAGAGCACCTGGACAGGCAGCTCACAGCTTGTCTTACAAGTTGTCAAAGTGACGCTGCTGCAGATGCGGATCCTCATCGTTGAAGATCACTGGGCCAACAGGAGGCTGCTGGAGGCCATGCTGATCAAGCTGGGACACAGGTGGGACCAACGCTCCTCAGCGCCGTCGCTGATGTTGAGCAGGATGGAGGCGGTCGAGAACGGGCTGGAGGCAGTAAACATCACGAGCAGCAGACTCTATGACGTCATCCTCATGGACTGCAACATGCCCATCATGGATGGATGGCAGGTGACTTGTGCAGATTGAAGGAGGAACAAGGGAGTGAGATGGAAGAAACCAGATGGAGGAGGGGAGTGCAAAAGGAGGGGGTGGAAGACAGTTTAGCAGGGGAGTTGGAGGAGGAGCGTCTCTGATCAAGGGTTTGTCAGGCGACAGAGAACATCAGACAACGAACTGGACCGAATCAGGTGAACGAGCTGAGAATGTGAGACTGACTGAGTTTGACGTGATGCTGCAGAAAACGCCGATCATAGCGGTGACAGCCAACGCGATGAAGGGCGACAGGGAGAAATGCTTGGCGTCGGGCATGGACGACTACATCACCAAAGTAACTTCCCTCCCTGCCTCTCTCTTGCTCCCTGTGCTATGTCTCTTCCTCCTTCCTCTTACTGCCTAGACTCTTTCTCTTGCTATCTGTCTTGGTTGCTGCCTACCAGCCCTCCCTCGCTCCTTTCTTGTCTCCCTGCCCTCGCTCCCTCGCTGCTCTCCCTTCCCTCTCTCTCCATTCCGCTCTCCCTGCCTGTCTGTCTCCAAGCGTCTGACCAAGACGGCAGCCTGTGGAGAGGAAGAAACTAGAGGATGTGCTAGGGCGGTGGGGGGGGTTGGACAGCAACCTTGCATGAGTCAGCTCAGGAGAGCTGCTCTGTTGTGAATTAGCCTGTACTATGCTTGAAGACATGAATACAAATTCATGAGAACAACTGATGGATGCGAGAAGATATCAATAGATAGATGATTTCCTTTCACTCTTTCCCCTCCATCATTGCCCATCATGCACTCCTTTCTCCGCCACTACTCGCACTGCATGTCATCCTCTGTCTCCCTTCTGCTTTCTGCTTGTTCCTGCTTCTCTCTCCTGCTGACTTTCCCTTCGAATTCTCTTCTTTGCCCTCTTTCCTTCCGGTTTTATTGAACCTCTCACTTGGCCTTCTCCCTCCCTCCCTCCCTTTCCCTCCCTCCCTCCTTCGTTATGCTCCCGCATAAAATCGGGTCACCTCTTCTGGTGCTATCGTCTGTCCTCCTCAACAGTCTTCTGCTCCTCCCCTCATCTTTCCTCGTGTCATCTCTGCTCACCAGTTCTCTCGGTTCCGTACTCAGAATCCTTTCCATCCCACTCTTCCTCTCCTCTCTTCCTCTCCTCTCCCTTCCTCTCCCCTTCTCTCGCGCTTCGCTCCTCCCTTACCTTCTCTCCTCGTCACTCTTCGCCCCGTGCAGATTAAACTTCTTTTTGGAACAACAGGGACGCAACTAAATAGACGGGGAGGGGGGAGGAGGAGCAGGAGCAGGAGCGGGTGCAGGCGCAGGAGCAGGCGCAGGAGCAGGAGCAGGATCAGGAGCAGGAGCAGGAGCAGGAGCAGGAGCAGGAGCAGGAGCAGGAGCAGGAGCAGGAGCAGGAGCAGGAGCAGGAGCAGGAGCAGGAGCAGGAGCACAGGAGCAAGGAGCAGCTGATAGTTCCCCTCGAGCAGATGGTGAACGTCGGAGGCAAACTTGGCCTGTACAGGAAGCTATGATTCAGTTTCCTTCACATTGGCTTCTCAATTTTCTCCTGCTGTTGCTGCTGCTCCTCCTGCACAACTCTGTCGCCTCCTCCAAGTGAGTTGCGACCAAGTCAAATGTCGTCCTTATGCCTTGTCGACGCTCTCAGGCTTCTCGTCCATTCCCCATTGAACAATGTGACGTACCGTCCTTTCGTCTTCTTCCTGCTCCTCCTCGAAGTTGATCAACCCGATCAAGGTGTGTATCACTCGTGTCCTGCTCTCCCTGACATTGGGGCTGACAGACAGGCGGTATGAGCTGAAAGTGTCAGTGGTCAACGGAGACGAAGTCATCTATGACGAGTGAACGCTTCCTCTCTCAACTTGTTCCTCTCTCAACTCCCCGCAGCTTCTTCCTCCTCTCGTCGCAGTGGCCGCAGCTCCGACGTCCCCTCAAGATGTCCGCCACCGGCCCCCACACGCTGCACGTCTTGCTCAAGGACGTGGGAGGAGGAGGAGAAGTGGAGCAGGTACGGCGATCCAGCGCTGCCTCCTGCTCATGCTCCTTCCAGCGCATCCACTTTGAAGTTCAGGAGCCCGAGATCGTCCTGCCGACCGAGTTTGTCCAGCACCAGCAGAGGTCCAGGAGGAGAGAGATGGCGCATGTTTGACCTCCGGCTTCAGCCTCCTCCTGCAGAAGTTTCCCTTCACCTCCACCCGCGTTGTCGTCATTGCGCCAACATGGCTCGGCGGTAAAGAGCCAGATGAGAAGTGGGCACGTGACAATGAGAAGGACGGGAGAGACGGGAGCCGATAAGAGCACAATGGTCGAGAACAGCGATGGACGGGTAAGGCTATCAGAACGTGAGAGGTGGTTGTGGTGGTGGAAATAATGGTGTTGCTGCTCCTGCTCCTGCTCCTGCTGCTTCTGCTGTTGATGTTGATGTTGATGGTGATGGTGATGGTGATGGTGATGACGATGGTGATGACGACGACGACGATTATAATGATGATGATGCGATGTCAGCCAACAAGCTCTTCTTTTCTTTGTCATTGGAGAATACGAGAGAGATGCAATACAATTACACCAACAACAGAAAGAAGGTATCTCCTCTCCTCTCCTCTCCTCTCCTCTCCTCTCCTCCCCTCTCCTCTCCTCTCCTCTCCTCTCCTCTCCTCTCCTCTCCTCTCCTCTCCTCTCCTCTCCTCTCCTCTCCTCCCCTCTTGTCGCATCTAATCTCCTTTCTCCTTCTCTATCTCTCTGTGCCGTCGCTTAGCTCAACTCAGAGCTCATGAAGGAAATGCAAGAACACTGGGACATGATAGTTACTTCATGCCCGGATTACGATGAATCTTACAGGTTTGATGCTTTTTCCGACTTGCCTTCTCTTTCTTCTTCCCCTTTTTCCTCTTCGTCTCTTTCCTTTCGCTTCTGTTTTCACCCTCGTCCTCATCCTTGTCACCTTCAGCTCGCAATCGAAAGAGCAGTATTACTGGGGAGCAGCAGTGACCTCTAGCACCACATGCAAGATGTTGGAAGCCTGCAAGTTTCTCAGCAGGAACTTCAAGTTGGTCTGCTGATCCTGTCTTGCTCCATTCCTCACCTCTCTCTCAGCTTCGAGCACATGGTTCGCATAGGCGATGACGCGTACTTCAACGTCCAGCTCTTCCTCGACTCGGTTCTCTCGACGACCTCAACTATCTGCTAACGCTTCTCAGACTTTCCCCTCCTCCCGCCTGTACATGGGCAGGATGAACTGGCCGTCGCCGCATGAGCCACTGCTGTCAGGTACGAGGAGGAGGCGCAGGAGCAGTTGAAATTGGTCGACAGCCAAGGACCTCTACGGGATCCGCGAGTGGCCCGAGTATGCCATAGGAGCTGGTGCGATCCACATGAGTTTGCCGGGGGGGAGGCTCAGGTGGGGAGATGCAGGGTACGTGTTGAGCCATGACGTGGTCCGGCTGGTTGCTCAGCTGGAAGCGTCCGGGATACCTCTGCGAAAGGTGAGGAGATACAGGAGGATTTCACGAGGTGGTGGTGGAGGAGGGGGAAGAACAAATGGAGAAGGAGGAGGAGGAGGAGGAGGAGGAGGAGGAACAGGAGGGGGAACGGGAACAGGAAAAGGAACAGGAGAATTCCCTATGGCTGATTTGGATGGCAGACGGCTCCGGAAGACGTCATCTTTGCAATCTGGCTGATGCCATTCGAGGTGAGGATGAGCTGAATTTGCGCTGGAACTGACACAACTTGGAGATCCCTCGACTTCACACTGAGCATATCTTCAACCATCCTGATGTGGTGGCGGCGTCAGACCCCAACCGAGGGTAAGGTAGTTGCAGATAGAGCAGCAGCAGCAGCAGCAGCAGCAGCAGCAGCAGCAGCAGCAGCAGCAGCAGCAGAAGCAGCAGAAGCAGCAGAAGCAGCAGCAGCAGCAGGCTGTGACGACTGGATGCAGCTTTTGCTCGGTAGAGTCTCTGATTGTTCATTACGTCAATCGCACTCACTTCGAGGAGATAAGACTGAGCGATGGTGAGAAGAGGAGGAAGAGGAGGGAGACTTGACGTTGCTGACAGGTGTGATGCTTTGCCGACAAAACCATGACAAGGTTGTCAGTTTCTCCTTTGCTGGAGATGAGCTGGAAGCTGGTAATGGGAAATTTCAAATATTCCCTGGCTGCCTCACGAGCTTGACGTGTCAACTCAGCGCCGAGCGATCTCGGAACCATATCAGCGGGAGAGTCTCGTGCGTTGAGGATCGTCCCAGACAACATCTCGATCAAAGTTCGTTCATTCCCTTATCCTCCCTCCCTCCCTCCTTCCCTCCATTTCCCTCCCTCCATTTCCCTCCCTCCATTTCCCACTCTCCATTTCCCTCCCTTACTCCCTCCCTCCCTCCCTCCCTCTCACTGCTTTCTATCTCTTTGCTCTTCTCGTTCCTCACTTCCTTGCGTCCTGACGGTGCTCTCAGATGCCCACGACTCTACTGGTCCATGTCATCCCAGCTGGACAAGCTGACTATGTCGTAGCTCACGCAAAAATGCCTGAGTAAGCAGGAGGGGAGAGGAGAGGAGAGGAGAGGAGAGGAGAGGAGAGGAGAGGAGAGGAGAGGAGAGGAGAGGAGAGGAGTGGAGAGGAGTGGAGAGGAGAGAAGTTGAGAATCGTCAAGTAACATGCTAGTACCAGTGTTACGGAGCTTGAAGTCATGTTGCAAATTGCCCATCCTGGTCGGTATGAGGTAGAAGTCACAATTGTTGAGGGCCAAGAAGAGTTCTGGGGACATCCAAGGTGCTATTTGACCTTTTTCTTTGTTGTAAATCTGACCAGTCTGCTTGGTTTTAACGTGGTTCTGTCAGATGGAAGAAGTCGCTCTTGGTGGTTTGAACGGGGTTCACTGAAATGGTGATAACAAAATTAACAAACAATCAACTTTGCTCTTTTACTGCACTTTTTCGACCTGTTCTTGCATCATCTTGAACGAAATCCGTTGCCCCTGGACGTTGTTTGTGTTTCATCTACAACAAGTCTACCGGATCTCTTCAACGATCTTGTCGATAGCACACAGGGTCATCTGCTTGTACACGATCCAGTGCCTCCAGGTCTTGAAGCGAAACTTGAGCTCCTGCTGCGCGTGCATGCCGATCACTCGCATCAAGTGCCTCCTCCTGGTCGCTCTTTGCAGCGCCGCAGCCCGCAGCTCTCGGAATGTCCTCATCATTCGCGCCATGGCGAAACGACGAGCAGCGACCTTGAGGTGACCGACAGCCTGACGCGACCTGAACGCCTGCTGACGTAGAGAGGCCAGGGAGAGCGCGAGCATGCGCAGCTCCCTCTTGTTTTCTTTCTGCTCACTCAGTCAGGCCCGCGCAAGGCATGGGAGGAAGCGACAAACCTTAGCAACCCCCACGTGGAGGCGAACCCCTCGCTGAATCAAAATCGCCGCGTGCCATTCCAAGACGGTTCGGAGCAGCAAAGTAGAAATCTTCTTGAAGTACAACCCCACACAACTTCTGCTTTTCCTGCTGGTAACCTGCCACGTTGAGAACGCTAAAGACAGAATCTTCTTCCTCCTTTTTGCAACGGAAGTTTTGGTGCAACTTTGTCGAGCGCACGAAGTTCTCCAAAGAGCGATGAATTCATATGCAGTCTTGCGTTTGCTCATGACGTGTAACTCCAAAAAGCGCTTCTTTTTAGTGATGATGAACTTCCATCCCAAGAGATACTGCAACTTTCTTGATTGGTTCACCTGCAAACAAATCAAATCAAATACTGCTTTGAGACATAAAAGCACAAATACCATTCTTGCAGAGATCTCTCCATTCTCCTCCAGCTTCTTACAACGACGGAGATTCTTCTGTAAAGACATGAAACAATCGTGAAGCTGGGTATGTCTTTTTCGACCAAGGAGAGAGTCGATGCGATTACAAATCCTATTCCAATGTGAGGCAAAATGTTTCCAGCTTATGATTGCAATTTGAAGTTTCTGTCTGTGACCTTTCGTCATTGATTTTTGCAGAAGCAACGACACGTGCACTCTTCGTCTAATGATAGCTCGCCAATGTTTGATGCAGAATCTTTGTACCCGGATAAGATTGCGTTTGGTTATAATCTGAGATCCAAGGGTTTGCGATGTAAGTTTGAGGTGCCCATACAGCCAGAGGTCCAACACATTCAGCAATTGGCTGCGAACAAGCCGCTGACGAGTCTTCTTGAGCTCGAAGATTCGATGAAGGTGACTGAAGATGTTTTCTTCACGCCATTCAAGGTTGAAGTGAAGCTCTTTAGCAGGAAATTGAACATGCAGATCATTGAGAGAGAGTCCTTTGCGATGCGCCGCTATCAGCCTCCATTCTATCATTGAATATCTTAGCCTCTTGTTCCACCGTAGCCTACATCGAGTACTCGCTAGCCGTTGTGAAGTACACGAGAACGACTTTGAAAAGGAGAATAGAGACGTCAGAACCAGTTGACACAACCTGCAAGCAAAGCATAAGAACTAGAAAGGAACAGGGATGGTCGAAGCCTCAGAACTAGAAATGAAAAAGGATGACTAACCTTAGATTCCTTGACTTCACATATGCTTCTGCTCGTTGGAGGTTGCCACTCCATTGGATGTGTGAAGTATACCATAAACTGAATGTTCTTTTCTTTCGTTGAACGGAGATCTTCGCTCGAGCCAATTGCACTTTCTTTGAAGCAGTTTTGCGAATATCTTTGAGCCAGCACCATCGATTCAAGCAATCACAACACAGACTATCGTTCTTGCTCTGCACTAGCTGGTTTGTCTTCCTCTTGTTGGACGTTTGAACCATCGCCCAATCCCACGCAGTCAGGGAGAATTTCATTGAACGATGCATATTTCTGCTGAGGAGGTTTGCTAGAGAAGAGTGCAGTTCTTTATGCCGCACGATTCTATATCGATAAGCTTGAAAGGTCCCAATTAATGTGCTTCTTCTCAACCTGGATTGCACGAAGAAATGAGCATGTCGATAACATCTCATCTTGTAAACTATCATGCTCCATGTGTTACAGACCACGCGCAGAAGCTTTTCGACTGAACGTTTCGAAGCCCTTCGGAAGGAAATCAGAGCATCAATGTTTTGCCTTGCGTGTGCCTTCCAGGTGTCCATGAATGATTTCAACATAAAGTTTTGCCATCGCATTTCACACTTCCTTGCAGTACACTCCAAGAAGAACTGACGCGCTGTAAAATCACGCCACGAATGAAACAGCTGTACACTTTCACTCAATAGATTTTTCCCGAGGTATAAGGAGAGAGTGCGAAGACTCTTATCTTTGCACAACTGCGATCTGAAGGCATCAAACGCTGCGGTTAGCAAGAGCTGTGTTTTGCTGTCTCTTATCGATGAATACTTGATTCTTACTCGCCGATGCCCTGAAACAGCATAGCCAAACCATAAAAAGCAAGTCCTGAGAGCCAAGAATCTTGCTCGCGCCTCTTTCCGTCTGAGTTTTTGATCTTGCCATGACTGATACGACCACCCAGCAAATGTGGATTTCAACAGGTTTGTTGTGATACGATACGAGATTCTGTCGAAACTGTCAGAGCAAACAGTAGTGAAAAATGATAAGTTGCCTGCTAATCCATCGTCTAGTGGACGAGAAATACCGAATCAGCCAATGCCATTCAAGCAACCTCTGCCTTGCAGCGTTGTACGACACGTTCCTTCGTATGACGAAGAACAAATGAGTGTGTATTTGGTTGACTTCCTTCAAGTATTTCCACTCCCTGAGAATCCTCTTCAATCCTAAGTATTCTTCATCTATTGCAATCTTCAAGTCCGCTATGATCTGGTGTGGAATCAGAGAGGTATATCAGGATCAATCATTACCTGAGCACCCCACTCTCTTCGAACGGCTTGGTTCACGTTACTCGCTCGTTTCGAATGCAGCCTCTTCTTCTCGCTTCGCATCCCTAAACTCTCCGACAAAGGGTAATGGAAGGAATCCTCATATTTCATCCCATTGGACCCAAATCGATCAGGAGTCGAATAGTATGTCGGAATCGACGAAGGCGCAGGAGGTAGACGGGAAACGCTATGTTGGCTGTCCATAGAATCATTGACCTTTGAGAACGTGGTCTTGGCCATGATTCTCTCTCCATTCTCGCTCCGAGAACTTAGCTTTTGCACAAGGCCATTAGAATCCTGCTCAGCTTTCCTTGAAGAGAAGTGAAGGGGCGGCAGCGTTGATTTGCTGTGCGCTTCCTCTAGCTCTTTTTTAAAATCTTCATCAAGAAAGAATTTGGGCCCATGATTGAGCTGTGGTTGTGCTGCTGCTTCTGACGCCTCGTCTTCTGGTTGGACGGGTATCGCAGGCTGGCACGTTTCCAGGCCTAGGTCTTCTCTTGAGAGATGATCGTCAAGGGGCGGATCGAGCTCGTTGGCAGGAGGATGCGATGAAGCCTGGACAGCATGAAGCTCCTCCTCCTCTCTGAGCCTCCCCTCCTCGCCCATTCCTTGATTGAGCGAGCCCTCGCTCTCTGCCATGGCAGAGGGAGCACTTCAGGGAGGGGGGTACGACGACTGACGGAAGGGGTAAGGAACTCGATGGGGTGGCGAACGATGTGAGGGGGTAGGGTAGCAGATAGGAGGGGTGAGGGTAGGGGAGCCGAGGTGCCTCCATCAGGTCAGATAGCAGGAGACTACTGGACTCTCGTCACAGGCCCCGGGCCACCGACAGAAACAACTAGAAGAGGGACTTTCGCCTCAGGGGGTGGGGTGGTGAGTTACAGGCTGAATGGAGGACTATGGCTGGCGGCCAGATGTGGGGGTGGGTGGCCTTGGGCTTTCAGACTAGTGGGTCATGTCGGGGGGATCGGACCGGTACTACCGTTTAGAGGGGCTTTTGACTGACTACCGTGAACTTGGTCTAGTACTGATCCAAGTTAACTTAATTTTGAGTAAAGAGATGGTCTTGACCGTCTACTGCCCGGGCAGCGGGCGGGCCTACCCGGCGCCCCACCCGGGCGGTCTTAACTTTGGCGTCTGATCCGACCGATTGATAGTCACAGGCGGGCGGCTGGGGAAATAGTGAGTCGTGCGGCGCGGCCCGCCCCGGGCCCGGCCCGTGGCTTCCGCCGCCACCGGCCGTACCGGGCCGCCCGGCCGCTGGACCGGGGCGCCCGGCGGCGGCGGTACTCTGAGGCTCTGTAATCGTTATTTTAGTCAACATTCACGTGCGGTATGAGCCGGTCCATCAGTTGACCTTTTCTTGCCCAGAAATGAAGGGTGGGGTTATACACCCTACCCTATTCTCTCTCGTGAATCTGAATTCAAAGGCACCGGTATTTACACTCCATTGATTCCGATCACCGGTCCATAATTTTGAGTACAGGTGGTGGGGTACTGTACGAATGTTACAAACAGGGGTAGTTTCATTTTCAGTGAGTGGGACTTGAGGGGTGGGGTAGTTGTGCTGCGAAAGTGAGGGTTTGTGGGTCGATGGTCCAGGGCTGTAGAGGGGTGGGGTAGAGCTGAGGGAACCCAGGGGTACAGTGTCTCTTTTTGTTGGGGATGGAGTGAGTGAGGGGGTAGGGGTAGATAGGGTATAGTTTCTGAGTTCAGGGAGTCCATAAAGGGGGGTAGCCAAAGGGATTGTGATTGGCGTGAATCTCAACAAAGGGAGGCAGGGGTACCTTTTACTGCAATTTGAAGGGTGGGGTCTTGCTTTTGTTCAAGAGAGACGGGGTGGGGTCCATGGGCGGGGTACACGTTAGAGGGTCAATGCAGGGGCCAGCGATGTTGGTGGAGGGAGTAGTTGAGGAGGGCGGAAGTGGGGGCGGGAGGAGGAGGAGGGAGGAGGATGCGGGACAGGAGGGCTATAGATACACGTGTTGATTGGAGGAGGAGGGGCGGTGAAGAAGCCTTGGGAATGCCTGGGAATAAGCGATGGATCGATTGCGAGTGGTCGTTAGGAGAAAGTTTGTGGGGTTTACATGGATATGTGAGGAGACACGATGAATTCAAACTCAAGCAAAGTTGACGACATCGATTGACAATGATTTTGCGCTGCTTCCTTCACAAGATTCTCTTTATATGGCTCGTAATGTGTGCTCGCAAACCAGTTGGAAACACACCACTTTGCTGGACAATTTCTTTCAGTGTGAAGCATTAGAGGAAGTTTAAAGTGTAGAGGACTGGTTTCGTCTTATCGTTCTCTTTGGTTCGAATGATGTTATTAATGCTTGCTCTCCAGGGCTGGGCAGTGGTAGAAGAGAACATGGCAGCCAACCATGTGTCGAAATGTACAATCCTAGACGGGCAAGAGTACTACATAGGCTCAAACAGAGAGAAGTGTAGCGGTCATGTGGGACAGTCTTTCATGGTTCATCTGCAGGAAGGCTTCTCAGCGATTCGCGATGATGACAACAAGATCAGATACACAGGCGAGGACACGGACAGCATGGCGGAAGGTGTGGAGGATGGTGGCTCGATGAACGCTGCAGAGAGGAGCTCCTCGTCATGTATCTCGGATGAGAGCACTGCGTCAAGCCAGTGCCTGCAGAGCGATGTGCCTGCTAGCCCGTCGGCCCCTCCGTCTGTGGATGCCCAGAATGGTAAAGTGCACAAGTTTTAGCCTGCCTCGCTTGATTGTTGCGCCCTCAGGCTTGACATCCTGCCATGGCACATCGCTTGACTCTTGTGAAGGAAATGCGGCAGGGGACCCAATAGATATGCAGCAAAGTAAGAATCCTGGTAAGCTCTTGTTGACTGGGTGCAACATGATGGTTCTCATGTTTTGTTGAAGCATCCGAGCGTGGACGACACAAAGGGACTTACGATTACGACGATGTTGAGCTCTATGACTGCCAACCCCTTTCGAATGAAGAGCTCTTGGGCGATCTGCGCCACGACAGTTTTCTGTATCAAGACGCCGGCGACTCTCCGACCTCATATCCTTCCAAGCATTATTCGGCTCCTACCAGTGGTCATGGTTTGACAGCAAGAATGAAGGCAAAAGCAGAAGCCAGGTGACCAATCCCTTGTGAACATCACTGATGCGAGCGAATGGAAAACTGAATCTTCTTGTTTCACATCAGAGCGGCTGCAGAAGCAGATCTCGTCAGAGACTATGCAGCTTTGTCTCGCAAGGAACGAGAGAACTTGCTGATCTCGGTGAGATATTATCTACTGATGAATGCTAGTCATTGACTTGTCTTCTTTAGTATCGTCCTTGGTTCTATAGCAGGTTCTTTAAAACCCAAGTCTGTTTGCCAAAGTCCACGTAATTACTGACAACCCCTCCACTCGATTCCTCCCCTGAGTTTTGTGTACCAGATGTTTGAAGGATTTGCACGAAATTCGACATCGACAAGAGCAGCCAACAAGCAAGATAGTGACGGGTGAAGTTGCCTCGAGCGCTGGGCATTCCATAGAGATTGGGGAGGAGGTACGGCAATCCGCATTGTTTCGATTCTTGACAGCCGTTCCTCAAGACTTGGATCAATTGCGACCACTGCGGGAAGTGGCGGAGGATTCACGATGATCATTCCATTAATGTGGGGCAATTGTTGGTAGGATGGAGGATGGAATGGTTGACAGTTTGTTCAGATGAGCAATCACTTCTTCTGCTCCATGATTCCAAATCTCTCCTGCGATGTGGTAAATTCCAGGCGTTGTAGTCGTTCCATTTGACAGTACCCAGGCTGAAGAGGAATGGAGCCAGAATGAGTATTGGATCGAGGACGGGAGAGTTGTAGGCCCAGACATGAAGAGGAAATCCTCAGACAACCGCAAGAGAAGCAAAGGTAAGCACCGAGGTCCACTCTGTTCGTGCCCATTTCATGACTCCTGCGGACATTGTTACAATGAGGATGAGTCTGCTTTGACTCTTTACGTTTCAGACTCCGCAGACTCAGGACAGTCAACGCCCAACAAGAAGCAGCGTCTAGAGCCTGCTCGGGCTGCCCCGGAAGCCTCCGAGGGAGCTTCGAAAGGAGAATCCGTTGGCAAGGAAGGGACAGCATCAAATGATTCTTCGGCTCCAAAAGCTGCCGAGAAGGGGAGGATGTTTCCTCAGCCTCTCAGCCCAGAAGATGTCACTTGCAGTGCTCACTTTGACAATGTGAACAAGGGAGCCAGGAGTGACGACAAAGACAACGATCACGCCGCCAGAAATCTTAAGTTGTGCGAGGTAGACCTCTGCCCTCTCCAACAGCCAGCGAAACGATGGCATACGATAACGGACAAAACTGTAGCAGGAGGAAGAGATTGGACGAGATACATCGGCATCACCATCTGCGATGCTTGCTTCTCCTTCTTCCGGAGGAACGGCACCTTTGATCGTTCGTTTCGCAAGCCCGAGGAAACCAAAAGCCCTTGTAAGTTGGCAGAGTCGAGTCCCTCGAAACAGTCCGAGCCCAGTGGCGTTTCCATTCCTCGTGATAAGAAAAAAGATGAATTTTGTGCCAAGCTGCTGCAGATCCAGCAGCCAACAATGCCAAAGGCTGAAGCAACTACTGCAAAGCCTATTTCCAAGGTCTTCCATGCACAGCCTGTTGCAAGAAAGAACGAAGTGCACATCAAGCCTTTCTCAAGCATGGATAAGTCCGAATCAAAGTTCATCGCTCCAGAGTTGTCGACCATTCCGATGAAAGCAAGGAAAACGGATGCCATCTATCACAACTCAAAGGTTGGAAGGAACGGAAAATGGTGCTCCAAGCTCAGAGCGCTGCGCTGCATAGCCTGCTCTTGCCGCATGGATAGATGTATCTGCAGGAAAAAGAAGAAGAGTACTCGCCCTACCAATTATGCTCAGCCTTTGGCTCCATCCGAGAAGAGCTCAGAACCGCAGGACAAGTCTGCTGGACAGTCTGGTGGAGAATTGTCGGAATCTGAGAGCTCCGAGTTTGAGATCATTGAGGAAGATTACGATTCGTCGAATGATAGCATGTCTTGGGAAGATGCAGACAGTGCTGCTAGCGAGAGGGGCGTACCCCACAAGGCCTCGCACGTGGACGTGACTGAGGTGGAGATAGAGGAAGACGATCGAGGAAGGCCCAGCTCACTCCCGCCAGCTCTCGAGGCTTCAGAGCGCGAGGACCTCGGGCTGCTGCCATCGGCTGATGGAGGAGAAACAGGAGTTTGCGCTGCCGTAGACCCTCATCTCGAGGGCGAGGTTGCTGACAGACGGGAGCTGAAGGCCGAGCAACCTCCCGAGCAGCGAAACGAGCAGAAGCCGATCAAGGTCAGGATCCCTCGATGGCGACTTGGGTGCGAAGATTTCCTCCGCCCGTACCGGGATGAGTCGGAGCAGGCGAACCTGGACTCTATCTCGGAAGCGCTTGAGGGGATGGGGAAGACTGTGAGGGGACTGGAGGACTCTCTTTCTTCCATCGGCAGTAGCCTTGCCTCACAGATAGCAGAACTCCGTCAGACAGTCCTCGAGACCGAGTGGGAGAGCTTGCAGTGACGGTACAGGATCTTTTCAAGGGCCAGTCGCATGCAAACGTGTATGATAGGCAGCCAAGCACCGAACCATCTTCTTTGTATCTCTATATCTTCTTTCATCTTTCTAGCTGACTATTGAACATGTAAGTATTCTTCTGCGACTTGTCTTGTTTGTCGAGAGATAGCGAGAGCGAGCACGAGAGAGCAAGCGAGAGATAGAAGGGCAGGAAGGAGGGAGGGAGGGGGAGGGAGGATGACTCGTGAAGAGCACGTGAAAGTCAGAAGGAGGGAATAGGGAAAAGAGGGAGCAGGATGGAGAAACTCAGGGCTCGTTAACCTCCCATGTCATAGAGTAGCGGGTTCTCCGCGAGGAACTCGTCTATGAAGGCCTTGAGCGCAACGTTGGGGATGAGCTGTTCCATGCAGAGCGTGCGGCTGCCACGTTGGGGATGAGCTGTTCCATGCAGAGCGTGCGGCTGCCGCCAGGCTCTCTGTACTCGTTCTCCTGGAGGTAGCGCTGTCCAACATGATCTTCTTGCTAAGGCTGCATACTATGCTCCCCGGCACCTTCCTCCCCTCCTGTCGTGATCGAAGTATGCTCCCCGGCACCTTCCTCCCCTCCTGTCGTGATCGAAGTGATCGCATGAGAGCGTGTATCGCATCCTTCCGCTCCTTGCTCAGCTCCTGGGCCGATCCCTTGGCGGTTTCATCCTCCTCCGTCCTCGAGTTGTAGCATCTTTCTACTAGCCCCAACCAGCTCGCCGTGACCTTCTCGTCCTCCTGCACCGCCAGCGAGCGCTTCTCCTCTGCGATCTTCTTCTTGGCGAAGTAGAGAGCGGCATCGATGCTCAACCTGTAGGACTTGAAGTCTGGGGAGGAGGACAGCGACATTGCCTTCAGGAGCGACTCCATGGCCTGTCCAAACTTCTTCTGCTCCAGCAGCGCCTTGCCCAGCAGGTAGTGAGCCTTCACCGACGTGCTTCCTTCAGGATGCTCGATCGCCTCGCGCGCATCCTTTTCCACCAGCTCCCACCTCTCAAGCTTCTGGTTGCAGAGGGCGCGGTTTGTGAGGAGGACGGGGAGTTTGCATGAGGCTTCTATGGCCTTGGTGAAAGACTCTGCTGCCTTCTCCCATTCTCCCTCCCGAAAGAGAATCCTTCCTTCTTCTCGAAACCTGCTAGCGCCCATGATGTCTTTGAATGAGAAGCACCAACGTCAATGTCATTTCTCACAAGATGTGATGTCTCACCGTTTCGCTCTCTGCTTGAATACTCGTGGCCGTCGTTGACAGTGTGGGGATGTCCCTTGGAATCACTCTCAGTCACTTGTCAACACTGAACCTCTATTTTGGGTACCCTTCTACCCTCTTCCGCACACCTCCATCCTCTCCATACCTCTCTCTCCCTATTCTGCGCTACCTGCATTCCCCCCCCCCCCGCCCCCCCCAAACCCTCCACCTTAACCCCGACCCACTTCTCCCCCTACCTTCCCCGCTACCTTTCCCACTACCTGAACACAATCTCGTCTCGTCTCGTCTCTTCTCGTCTCGTCTCGTCTCGTCTCGTCTCTTCCCTTCTCTTCTCCATCTTCCTATGTTCCCTCCCTTCCTCCCTTCCTCCCCTCTGTTCATCTCCTCGTCCTCCCCCCCTTACCTGCTTCATCCCAGCATCGTCGTGAAGTCCTGTATGGTTCCCGCGTGTTTCAAAGAAAGTTTTACTCAAACTTGACAACACCCGCCTCAGGGCTCGTGGTAGTACCGTAGTAGCGGAACTGCCGTACGGCAGCACTGGCGCGGGCCCGGACTGGGTGGAGAAATTTCCGGAGGGTGTGGGAGAAATTTCTGAGAAGCCTTACAGTTAGCATCGTCACACACTGTGACACTTGTTGGGTTTCAAGTTTCCTCGAGTCAAGAGACAGTCCAATCCATCTACAAGTTCCATTCAAAGACACAGTGCAGCAAGTGAAATCTGCTGCTGACAAATCGAATGCTACCATCATAGACCGCCACATATTCCGGGCTTCCATCGTCGTGACTTCAATTATCATTCTTTTGAGAAGGAATTAACAAACAGAACTGAACCAACAGCTTCCAAACCTACGATTTGCATTCGTTGAAAAGGGTGATATCCTTATTTTCCTTAAACCTGTACGTCTTTTGCTCACTTTTGTGTTCGCAGCACAGGTTGTGTGAAGATGCATATGATATGCCGTGAAAATGTTCACAGTGTTTACCATGTAACATCTTAGGAGCAATAGAGGGTGCTCAGCGAAGGGAAGTTTCCAACAGTTGGATCGCCATGTGATAATACGGCTGATCAATTCGCTACTTTGAAAACAGCTGAGTCTTGAAAGAGTCTAATCCTCCCCTCGCTCCCTCGTGATCTCTCTACCTACCCTTAGAAATCCTGTCTTGCTTTGCATTGACACTTTATTTACATAATTGCACTCTCCTTGCTTACATTCAGGCTCTATTTACATCGCTGCATTATCCTTTGCTTTACATCCCTGTGATCGCCAACAGTAAAGACTTTGTAACTTTGACTGTTCTGGTGCTGCTAGTAAATATGCCTGCTAGCCCCTTCATCATTTTCTGTCTTTGTCGAACTCTCTTCGTTTCTCGAAAGGGAGTGCATGTTCCTCGCTCTAACTTCGTTCAATCTGCATTTTGGCTGCACACTTCGACTCGAGCCCGTCCAATGTCCTTCATGCTTCTCCTTCCGAATGTTCTGAGCATGGCTGCCGCGACTAGACGATGGTCTTCCATGCTGATGATTCTGCGAGATATGTGTCGCCCTTGGTTTCTTTGCCGGAGTCTTTTTGTGCTCGTGCGGCAACCACTTACTCGCTACTGTTGTTGCGTCACTTCGCGTCCAGTCCTCGACGAAAGCGGTATCGCTGTAGTGGTCTGAGTGCATGAAGGAGAAGTCGTAGATGGGGTCGAGCTTACTGCTGGGAGGACAACAAGTCCCGTTGTCTCCCCACATACAAGCGAATGTTGCTAGAGGCGTTGCTGCCATGGTCAACGTGCTGGTTTCAAGGTTGCTCTGCTCGACCAGGCTCTTATCGACCAGGCTCGACTAGGCTCTTATCCAGGTTTGCTGGTTGCAAATCGAAACCAGCTCTTTTCACAGCATAAAAGCTGGATGATGCGGAAATTCATGATGATTCCCGGAGATACCTTGTAGTAAAAAGCTATAACCTGAAATCCTCCGTTTTCATACAGCTTCAATGTCATCATTGACTGGTAACAGGGCGGCGGGCACGGCTCGACTGGTATTTCCGTCGGAACGAGTGACGAATGTTTCCAGGGGCACCTGCGGCTACCAGTCACTTCAGTACCACCGTAGCTTTGAGTAAAGCTTTGATGACGGTCAACTGGTTCAGTGTTCGGTTGAACTTATGACTGCCATGACCGTACTGTTCTCTGTACTCAAAGTTAAGTTAAAAATCAGTACGACTGAGGACAATCAGGAGCCTGAGTCGAGGAGGCTTGACCCTGTCGGACACTGCCACGGTCGCACAGGCCAAACGGCGAGAAGAGAAAAGACAGCGACTGCACGAGTCAGGCTCGACTCTCCTCATTGTCCTCGTACTGATTTTTAACTCAACTTGAGGGGCCAGTACTGCTGCCGACGGGCTAGTATCCGACGGTGCGGAGCGGCTGGTGACCGTATCGGACCCGTCACGGCGTCTGAGGTGACAGTGGAGTTGGCAACTTGAAGGCCGCGAACCGGCGGGGCACAGTAGTAAGTTATTTTACTACCCGGCGGGGCCCCGGTGACCGGGTGCCAGGGGGGGACCGCGGCCGGCCGGGCGCGCGGAACGGCCGGGCGTACCGTAGCCTAGTACCGCCCGGCGCCGCGAGCGGCGCCGTCCCGAGTCCGTCGGACTGCACTGGCCCCAAGTTCTGAGGCGGGTCGGTGATGCGGCACAAAGAAGTCTCAACGGCAAAGGAACATGCTGGGTCGAGGCAGGGAAGTCGCTAAGCTGACCGTCCTCGTCATGCTCGCGGGTCATGCGGCTTCCATCGTGCTTCATCCGAAACATGGGCGATCGCTGACGACCATGATCGAGCATGGGGAGCGGGCGAAGCGCCTTCAAGAGGTCTCAGCCGTTCACCTGGGCAACTTGACCTCCTACACAGGGTTCTTTACTGTGGATGCCCTCAAGGGAAGCAACATGTTCTTCTGGTACTTCCCTGCCATGAACGGCAATGCGGCTGCTCCTCTCCTCGTGTGGCTGCAGGGAGGACCAGGAGGGTCAAGCATGTTCGGGCTGTTCCATGAGATCGGTCCCTTCTCTCTCTCGAAGCAGAACGGGAAGGTGAAATTGGATCCTCGTGAGACCACATGGAACAAGCGCTACTCCCTCCTCTTCATCGACAACCCCGTGGGAGCTGGATTCTCCTACACCTCCTCACAGTCAGGGTACCCTACCACAGAGGAGGAGGTAGCCAAGAACCTTTTGTCCTGTCTGTTGCAGTTCTACCTTGTGTTCCCTTCCTCGCTCAAGGTCCCCCTCTACATTACAGGGGAGAGCTATGCTGGCCACTACATCCCTGCCTTCGGCTTCGCCATCCTGCAGCACAACGACATGCTGGTACCTGACAGCCCTGAACGCGTCCCCCTTGCCGGCATCGCCATCGGGGACGGATGGATTGATCCGATCAACATGGTCCCCGTGTACCCGCAGCTGCTGCTCGAGACGGGGCTGATAGACACAGCAGCATCGGTGAAGTTTGATGAGATGTGCTCCAAGATCGTCACTGCGATCAAGAGCAAGTACATGGAGCTGGCGTTCGAAACTTGGGATGAGATGATTAACGGTGACCTGTTCCCTTACGGCAGTTTGTTCTTCAACTACACGGGGAGGTACGACGGAGGAAGGATGGTGGGGGCAGAGTTGTGGTGGTAGATGAAGGGAGCCGGAGGGGGAGAGTTGAGGAGTGGGGGGCGGAGGGAGAAGTTGGTAAGTAGATGTGCGAACTAGGACAAAACTGAGTGTAAATACGATATTGAAGGTTTTTGACAGAACTTTTGTTTCAGTTACGATTACGACAACTTCCTCAACACTGACCAGCCACAGGAATTCTCCCTGTATGCTGAGGTGAGGGCTGGTCAATGGGCGCGAGTCTGCTGACGAACACTGCAGTATCTTGACACCAAGGACGTCAGGGAGCAAATTCATGTTGGAAGTGTTCCCTTTGGTACCAACGCATCTGATTGTGAGAAGAGCCTCAAGGTTTTTTGTTGTCTGCAAGACAACATGACATGTTGACATACTGGAACAGAGCGACTTCATGCGCTCCATGGTCCCTGAGCTGACAGCTCTGATCGCGAAGACAAAGGTCCTGATCTACTCCGGTGAGGAAGGGGAGAGGAGGAGGGAGGAGGGCGGCTGAGACCGAGGGGAAGCAATGGACCAGCATATGCAGGACTGGCAAGGAGGAAAGAGGAAGACTGAAGGCTGAAGGGAGGGAGAGAGGAAGGGAGCAGGAGGAAGGGAGGGAGGGAGCAGGAGGGAGGGAGGGAGTGGATGGAGCAGGAGGAAGGGAGGGAGTGGATGGAGCAGGAGGAAGGGAGGGAGTGGATGGAGCAGGGATGGGAACTGAAAGTGTTGGCAGGAAACCTCGACATCATAGTGGGGGCACCTTTAACAGAAGCTTTCATGAGCAAGCTCAAGTTCGACGGCAGCGCCGGCTTTCATGCCGCCTCCAGAAGACCGTACAAGGTGAGAGGAGAGGAGGGGCGATGGGGGGACAAGAGGAAAGAGGGTAAAGAGAAGGGGAGAGAGGAGGAGGAGGGGGAGGGGAGAGGGATGGCATTGCAATCGAAAGTGAGGACCGGGAAAGAGAGGGGGGAGGGAGGAGGAGAAGGGAGGGAGGGAGTGGAGGGAGTGGAGGAGAAGAAGGGAGAGAGGGAGGGAAAGGGGGAGGGAGGGAGGAGAAGAATGGAGGGAGGGAGGGAAAGAGGGAGGGAGGGAGGGAGGGAGGGAGGAGAAGAAGGGATGGATGGAGGGAGGGAGGGAGGAGAAGAATGGAGAGAGGGAGGGAGGAGGTAGGAGACGAGCTGCTGATGCTGTGTTGTAAGTTGTCTTCCTCGAGTTCAGACGTCGCTGGTTACGTGAGGCACTGGGGGAACTTGACGCAGGTGGTGGTCAGAGGAGGAGGGCACATCCTGCCCCACGATCAGGTGCTTCTACTTACCCTTCCCCCTCTTCCTCCTCCTCTGATCAGTCCCTCCCTTCACACCTCGTTTCCCTCTAGATCTTTCGTCCCTGCTCACCGTCTCTTCTCCCTCTCCTTCCCCATCTCTCTCTCCCCACTCCCCACATCTTCTTCCTCTCTCTGAGTTTGTTGACCAGCCTGTCGCTTCCTTGGACATGATCACTCGATTCGTTGAGACCAAGGTACTGCACACTCCTTCCTCCTCTCTCTCACTTTTTCTTCTCTTCGCCCTCCTCTTGATATTCACCTCCTCCTCCTCTCCTCTCCTCTCCTCTTTTCTCTCTCCCTTCACTCCCTCTCCTTCACCCCTCCTCTGCCTCCTCCCCTCCTTCTGTTCTCACTGAGCGCAGGGAGGATGGTGCTCCTGTGACGATTCGACATGCTCGAAGAAAGGAGACGACAGCGAGGTCTGCTGCCCGAGCGGCGTCTGCCAGGGAAGGAGCACATCATGAAGAGAGGAGCGAGCTACTGCGATACGTACATAGACCTCTTGCTCCTTCCTCTCTCCCTCTCCCTCCTCCTCCTCCTCC